CTCGCCGATGTGGTGTAGCTGCAACTTGAGCTCGAACTTGCGGAACCACGGAATCAGGTCCGTCTTCGTCGAATCACAGAAGATCTCCTGATCATTGAACCTTGGAGTCGCCTCGCGCGGTGTCGAACTCGGGTTGGTGGCGGCAGCACAGATCCGCTGTTCCAATTAATGCGTGGCGGTTTGTTGTAGCTCCGTGTCGTCCTTGAGGGCTCCGACGTCGATCTCCAATGCATTGAGGCGATCAAAGGTGTTGGAGGAGCTGGCATCGATGGCGGGGACGGGTCGTTGCTCCAGCTGCTGGAGGCGGCTGTTGACTTGGTCAAATGCCTGAATGTGAGTCCGAACGGCGTCGTCGAGGCTATGGATGTCCTCCTGCTGTGCAATGCACGTTGCCAGGAGATCCGTGAAATGCGTTAGGAGTAGAGCGATCTTGCTTTCACTCTCTTCCATCTGACCATTGTCAGCCTCGGCCCGCCAGTCCGCTGCCATTGTGAGTAAAGCTCGCTCTCCGTTGAATATCTTCTCGCGTCGTTGAATTCGGTCTTCATCGGCAGCCTTTGCTATTCCCTCGTCTTGCTGGCGCTGCTGTTCGATTGTCAACAGACGTGCCTCCTCGGCGTCCTCTGCCTTCTTCTTCTCTGCGGCTGCTACCTCATCCGCCCGTTTCTTGGCTTCGATAAACAAAGCCGGCATCCGGGCCTGATAGGCCTCGACCGTTTCCCCGAACTTCTGATCCATGCCAACCGTTGGTATGTGCGTGAGCATCGACCAGGCCGGAGGACTGCTAACGTGGCAGTCCCTGCTGCTGACGTGGCACTGTTGTCGGCTCACATGGCCTGCTGATGTGGTCTGCTTACATGACCTGCTGACGTGGTTTGCTGATGTGGCCTGCTGACGTGGCAACTTCCCAATGCCACCGCAGGGGGTACTCAGAGACAGATAGAGAAGATAAGACTAGAGGGGGCAACAACATAGTTGGGGACGGATGGGTGGAATAAATCGCCCAGATAAGGAGCCACTAATAAATAAAAAAAAAGTTCGAACTCTTGCAGAGAAACAAATTCGAGAAAATAAAAATCCCGAGTTTTGCAAGTTCAGTAGGTCTCCCAATGTCCCTTGAAGTGCGACATTGTCAATGAGAAAAAAAATTTCGAGCTTTCAGACTGCCAATGATTATCAGATAGTGAAAATCATAGAATTACGAGTACCAAGAATTCCGAAAAGAAAATAAAAAATATTTGGAATTACTTAGATGAGAGTACGCACAGTTTGGAAAATGGTAACTGTAAGAGGGATTTTCCGTACTGTTTTCAAAAAAACGAATTTCGGAAAAAATATATATATTTTGGATTTCGAAATAAATTGCAAAAGGAAATCCAAAATTTGAAAAAAAAATATTTTGGCTTTCCAAGGATGAAATTTCGAATTTTCAGGTGTTGCGCTATTGGGATTTTCCACAACAGAAATAGCGGGAAAACAAAATCCAAGACCGATTTTCGGCTGTGAGGTTAAAATCATGATTTTGGGTGCTAATGAGTGTGCTCTAATCAATCAATCGATCAAGACTAATCAACTTATTAGTCCCCACACACGTGTCTGATCAGGTTGTCCTGATTCACGTGCGGTGCTCCGATACCAAAATCTTACATGCCCAATTGGGCGATGTACATATATAACCAAGGATCCACAATGTGATGAAAAGGACTGAATGGACAATGCAGTGCTAGTGGAATCTCAACAACCAGTGTACATTCTGATACATACAAAAATGGTGCTTTGTAGCGCAGTGGAAGACTTAGATAAAGTCCTGACCTGACCAGGACTGACCTCCCTCACGTAGTACAAGACAGCGTAGCGGAATGCTAGAATACCAATGACTAGCCCAATCAATGTCGCAATGCAGACCAAACATACATCATCCTCATCACAAGGTGTGAAGGGGCCTGGCGCTACACATAGGAAGAATGCGCCAGGTCCAGATCATGCACAGACGAAGAGGAGTGAATGATGGGAATCAGATGAAGAAGAGGGGCGGGGAGATGGGAATGTCGTCAACACCAAGTCTTCGTTACAAGTCCCAAATAATCCCTAGTAAAAATGCCTGAAGCCCAATGTCGAGTCTGGATCCAAATATCACCAATCTCGCTCTCTCGTATTCTGTTGATGAAGTGAAGTCAGGTAGCGAGAGGGTGAGAGGGAGATGGTGGACTGAGAAGAGGAACAGAAAAACTCTCTCTCTCTCCCATGTGCCACGTACTAACCTGTGAAGATGGCGCTGTGCTTCAGGTACCTCGAAGACGAAGCTGGAGCTATGGCGCTGCAGGTAAGTCTCCCTGGCCTCCGCCCAATCTCTCTCTCTCTCCAGTACTACTCTAGCTCCTACTAGCGCCTAACACTGAAGACTACTGCTAACGCTGCTACTCCTGTAGCGCTCCTCCAGAGTGCTGCTGCCGAATCTTGAAGACTACCTCCTGCCTCCTGAAATGCACGTGAAGTGCCTGGGAAGTCCCTATGAGCTACCTGCAGTCTGCAAGGCTGGCCAGTCTTATATAGTGCTGGCCCGTCCAGGAGGCTGCTCCTGCCAGTGCCAAAACGTGCCAGACCCTGGCGTTGAAGCTCAAACAAGGGTTGTCTTGAAAACAGTCCCAAAATGGCCTGTGCTAAGACGCTGGTCTGGTGCCGAAGTTTCAGGGCAGGTCGATTTTATGAGGGCCTGAGAATGACCCTCCGTTTCAGGCTGGAAAGACTCAGCGCCTGTAGGGCCCTGTTTTAGGCAAAAACGACACAGGGCCTATAGGCCCTTGTTTTCAAGCTTTCAGGCTGAAAACGACACGGGCCTGAAAATGGCCCGTGCAGCCTGTTGCAGGCGTAGCATGTAACAGGCGGGCACAGGGCATGCTGAGGGTCTCTGCCCAGAACATGTACATGTTTGATAAGGGCCCCGCGAGTGCCTAATCCTCGCATGAGAAAGAAGAAGAAGAAGAAGAAGAAGAAGAAGAAGAAGAAGAAGAAGAAGAAGATGTACACCAGCAATACCAATGACAAATCCCCCCTTCTGCAAGGAAGATGAGCATTAGCGAACTTCAGCAATCAAGCCGCATCATACATATGAGCCCAGATAGTTTTGACCTCGAACCACAGCAGACTGGCATCACGAGATACACCAAATAAGAAGACACCAAGAGTTCAAAATTGACAATGCTGAAGTAGTCCCATCATCATCAACTACGAACCAGAGTTGATATCCTATTGGCGCTCGGCGCCCAGACTACAGGTGGCAGATCCTATCTAGCCTATACTACGAAGCAGAATGATGACATCAACAGCGTTCCCGAAGTACGAGCATATGGCGACCAATGTCGCACGCTTCAGCACCAGGTATGTCTCTCGTAACACTCACAACCCCGATCCACACCGCACAGATGCCACTAGCACCCCAAGGACCACCCTGCGCTTCACCTAGCATACAGCAGCGCAGCTTGGCTATGGCTGCGTGCTCCCTCCTACTCGCCCGTGAGAGCGTGAGTGCCAGCCAGCCAGCAGATTGCGCAGCAGCGCGCACGCAGCATGCAGCCAGCACCCGAATACCGAATGAGGAGGCAGGCCCTTCCCTATATCGAAGTGGCCTGCCTGCGTCCAGTCCAGGAAGCTTCCGGTAGGCCCCGGTWGGCACAGGCCCAGTCACGAAGAGAGCAGGCCTTGGGCCTGAAGTGGTTGCATGCGCCCAACTGCTTTCGGCCTGTGTTTGGCCCGGTACCCGTATCCAGYCCAGGGCCTGCTTCACATTCATTTACACAGGCGGCCCAGGGCCTGGGATTCATTCAACCAACTGGCGCAACGCAACTGTCTGAATTTCCTCGTTGCGGGGTACCCTGAAGAATGAGGCCCGAAGGGCCTGTCGTGCCTGCCTTCACTTAGGGCGTCCGACCTTGTTGCAGATAGGGCCCCGTAGGGGCTAAGCGGGCGTAGCCTCGCATTCCCTCCTCCATATCTTCGTTAGTCCTCTTCGAAGATCAATCTGTAGCCATCTGGCGCTTTCCTTTCAGTACATCCTTCTCATAGCGGACAACGATTTGAGGAGCGGTCTGCATCAGTTCCTCCCGAGTAAACCAGCGGTCCTCCTTCAGATCTGTATGATGTCTGAAGTGGACTCGGAACTGCAGCTTTGGCTTTGGAGGACGTCCCCTTCCTGGAAGCTTTTGAACAGGCATCTCCCTATGGTCAACGATATCATCGATGTCGACTTCTCTGTCCATGGTTGGGGGCAGCATGGATCGACGAGAGGGAAACTGATCAATTTCCTTTAATGCAGCGAGCTTAGAGGCGTGAAAGACTGGGTAAGTTCTGAGATGACCAGGGATACGGATGACATATGATGGACCATCAGGATCTGTCCCTACTACATCTAAAACTTCCCAAGGTCCAAAGTACTGAGGCATGAGTTTGCAGGATATCCCGAACACCTGTCCCAGTTCTGAAGATTTGACCCAGACTCTGTCTCCTACCTGAAATGTCGAAGGGCGGCGGTGTCTATTCTCAGACTCTTTCATTGCTGCCTGTGCCTTCTGCATGTGTTCTACAGCCTCCTGCATCTTCTGTTCATATCTATAGGCGAACTCCAGAGTGTGTAGCAGTTGGCTGGTTGTCTGGAAGTAGGAAATCTAAGGGCAGTTTGGGCTTGAATGTCAGTTGTAGACTGTTAGGACTCGTCCGGTAGCACTGTGCACAGCGTTGTTATATAGACTAGCGACTAGAGCAAGCTTTTCGTCCCAGTCTACCTGATTGGGCTTGATGTAGTGCCTCAACAGGTGTTGCACAGCGCGGTTCATTTGTTCAGCCTGGCCATTAGCTTTTGGATGATTCCCAGAAGTCATCTGCAGTTGAGTTCCTTGTTCAGCTGCAGCGGCCTTCCATAATTCACTCGTGAACCTGACGTCCCTGTCACTAACTATAGACTTCGGCAGTCCAAAGTCTCTAACCCAGTTTTCTTTAAATACCCTGATCACGTATTCGGTCTTTGTTGTTTCTGGCATAGCTATTAATCTAGCAAACTTACTAAACCTATCCACGATGACAAAGATTTGTCTCATCCCACTCTTGCTGGTGACCAGCGTATCCATGAAGTCCATGGATAAACTTTCACCCGGCCTTTCCGGAATCGGAAGGGGCTTGAGCAGCCCAAGAGGAGCCCGAGTACGGGGCTTGTCTCTCTGGCATACTTGACAAGTTTCCACGTACAGCTGTGCATCTTTCATCATCGTTGGCCACCAGAACTGCTGCAGCAAGTTGGCTGCRGTCTTCTTGTACCCAAAATGGCCGGTGGCATCATGACACTCGCCTAAAAACAAACTACGCAAAGCCTCGCTATTTGGAACGCACAAGCGTTTATTCCGTGCCTTCTCGAGGAACAGCAATCCATTGACCAACTCAAACTCGGCGGAGGTCTTTTTATCCTTCGCCTCAAGTCTGCGTATGATCTCAGACATAAACTGGTCTTGACGATAGGCTTCCACCAAAGACTGAGTAACATCGTCCGTCAGATCGAACTCAGTAATCAGCGCACCTGAGAAGTTCGGTCTGCGCGATAAGGCATCAGCAACCTTGTTGTACTCCCCTTTGAGATACTGAGGGTCAAAGTCATATTGCTCAATGACTTCGATCCAACGCTTGAGAGCGTCAGAGAGTACCGGCTGTGTTCTCATCCATCTCAGGGTCTGATGATCAGTCCGGAGGATGAAGAACCGCCCAAGGAGGTAGTGTCTCCAATGGGTGAGAGCCTTGTACATCGCATAGAGTTCCTTCTCATAAGTGGACTTAGCCAACTTCTGAGACGGCATTTTCTTGGCCATGTACTCTACTGGCCTCAACTTTGGCCCCTCCTGCTGCGCAAGCACGGCGCCAATGCCATATTGGCTAGCATCCGTGGTTACTATAAATGGCTTATCAGGATCGGGTAGCTTCAAGACTTCAYAGTGCGTCAATGCATGCTTCAGATGTCTGAAAGCAGCCTCGCACTCATCTGTCCACTCCCAAGGGGTGTCAAGACGGGTCAGATCAGTC